AATTTTTAATAATTAAATTAATTACGTGTTATAAATTTAATATGAATTATATATAATTACCTCATTAATAATTTATAATTATCATTTCAACATTTTACAATTATAACATAACATATATAATAATTAAATAATCATGTATTACTAATAAAGTTTAACACTAATTATTTACAATTATCTGATCATCAATAGTTTACAAATATCATTTTAATATTTTACAACTATAATCATGTGTTATTAACAAAGTTTAATATTAATTGTTCACATCACTTTAATTTTTTATAACTATAATTTTATATATTAAATAATTAAAATGATCATGTATTATAAGTAAAATAGTATTATCTTTACATCCTAATTTTAAATTACAGCTAGATTTTAATAAAGTTATCGTAGTTTCTTAATTTTATGAGACTTATTTTTAAATAATTTGCTTCACACAGCCTATATATAATTTCCCCTTTAATTTTCTTATGAGGGGATCATTTTAGAATATTGTAGAAAAGATTATTATTCGATAAGCAAAGGTCAAACTCAAAACGTTAGTTGCTTTTCTTCAAGCTTTCTCATCCTCCATTCTTCACAAACATCGTTATTGAAACTAACAATTAGAAGAATGTGCCCATGGTCTAGCTCTCAAGATGACCTAGTGTTGGGTTGAGCTAGGTTTAACACATTGTTAATAAAGAAATTATTAAAAAAATAAAAGATAAAAGAAAAAGATTGGTTTCCATTTATTAACAAATAAAAAATAAATACCTTTATCTAAAACTTATTCCTCTAAAAATTAATGTTCGAATCACGCGGTGACATTTTAAAATTATGAATCAAAACAATTGTGCACTATTTTTTTAAAATATTAAGAAATCAAAATTTTTTTATTACATTACGAATACCTAACTCTTTTGATATGCCAAAAAAAAAAAAAGCTACAATGCATGACTTATATAGTTGTAGTATGCACCGACAACAGGAATAATAAATATTAATTATTCTCTTACAATGGTAATTAGGTTCTTTCTAATTTTCTCTTAAGATTGATCATGCTGCAGCACAATCCAAGTATGCATGACAGCCATAAAATATGTTCCACAGGTTACCGTTTATTTCTTGTTTAGTTGTTTCATTTCTCTTCCATGAAGAATGTATTGTAAGTCGCACGCATTTATTTTATCCATCTCTCTATATCCATCTCATGTTAATGAATTGTATTATGAACAAATATATATATATATATATATATAGGCAATAATGACCGATGGGTTCGGCATTGAAAACATTTTTCTTCATTTTTGCGGAGCCATACGGTTGTGCAGTCCATATATAAATCAAGGTCCGTGATCTCTTCTACTGATAAGCATCTGAGAGTTAAGGGTCACACTTTACTCTTTATATTAACATGCTGTAAAATCAATGTTGCATTATTTCCAGGTTCTTGGGTCAACTTGTATGGGAACAAAGGATAAACGATGCTTTCTCTGGTATGGCAAAGTCTAAATTTTGTTCTCATTTGCAGTGAAATTTTGTTTAGGTTTAGGCAAACTCATCTAAATTCTGTTTTAAATAAAATTGAGGATTGCGGGGATGTGTATTCTTTGACCTAGTTTTCATATGTCAACGCTTCGTGCTGTATCCTGCCAAGAAAGCTTTCAAGTCTGTGGCTTCTGGGAAACCTGAGAATGAAATCAAAGAGCATCTTTGTTCGGTACTAAGAACCAACAGTGACAAAAAATGCAGTGAAGACAGATTGTGTCGTCAAATGGATGTTTTTTACATTCGATGCGCCAGAAGAACAATGTCTAGTAATTGGTTTCCTCTTATATTCTATTATTTTTTTGAATGATCCTATGATTCCTCCTTTTATGAATGTCTTAATATTTTCAAGCTGCAATATTTATTTACAATTGAAATTTATAAATTTATAATTATTTAAATCAATTTTTACAACTCTTTTTTTTAAAAAAAAAATACTGTAAGTCAATCTGTCATTATTTTTTTTTTTTGGACTTGGATGTTATTCTCCTAAAATATATTATAGCATTTTTTATAATCATGGAAAATTTAAGGTACATGTTCTTCCAATATACTTGATAAAATAAATAACCTATGGTTGGCTGAAAAAAAAAACCTATATATAATCCCCTTTCCAAATCATAAAATAATTTTGAAGGCATTTCTTTATTCAAAAATTTAATACAATTTTTTATAAAAATAAAATTTTAATAATGATATGTTTTTAATATTGCTTTTCAAATAGAGAGAAAATTAAAATGATTCTCGTGTAATAATTAAGTAAGTATATTTAAAGTTATCTTAAATAAAGGCTATTTTTTTAAAATTTTGTATTTTTTTAAAAGGAAAATTTGCAAAGTATCATTATTGAGTTTTATTAGTATTCATAATTTTATCTTAATTTTTTTTATAATTTAGGACGAATAAGGTAATATAAATGCAAACTATGATGAAGGAAGTAATATAAATGAAAACTATCACACACCTATAAATGAGGAGTAAATATTAATTAACAAACTAAATATTACTTCATAAGATGTAAATCATTTTTTATTGAATTTCACGTAAAATGTTTTCAAAAGTTTAAATTAATACAATCTTTCTATGTTATTTAATTTTATTTAATAAATTATTTTACTTAAATATTAAGCACATTTTTTAAATAAATACATTAATTATATTTTGAAATATTAAAATTATCTTTCATTCTTAACACCAAATTTTTCCACAAGAGAGAGAGAGAGAGAGAGAGAGAGAGAGAGAGAGAGAGAGAGAGAGAGAGAGAGAGAGAGAGAGAGAGTCGGAGCCTATACTCCGGCTCAGCTTAGCTCAACTCCAGTGCAAGCAGTGAAGAAGCAATTTGTGTCTTTTTCCCCTTAATCTAATAAATAAAGTGATATTAAACCAATCAGTGTTTTTATTTTTTATTTTTAAAAAACTTAGATAAGGCAGCGTGCAAATCAAGGGAGTAGGGAACTAGCCAAGCCTTTTGAATGGAACCCTACAGTCCGTAGTTGGAAACAGCGTTGATGAATGAGCACCTGAATCTCGTGGCTAATGGACTCTGCTTGGGATTGGATGATGAGCAAATGGGATGGGAGTCAGAATTATTGATGTTTGTGTACATCATTCCAACGCTCAGCCTTCCGTGGGAGATCAAAATTCACCATTTTAGGGTGTATTTTTATATTTCAATTAAAAAATTAATTATTAGAATGTTTAGATAAATTTTTAAAAATTAATTTTGATAAATTAAAAATATTTATATAATTTTTTGAGAATTAATTTTAAATGTGTAAATAAATAATATAAAAAAAATAGTTAAGTGGACTTCTGCAAACGAGGAAATTCCATAAAAGGAGGAATCAATTTGATATGTATGGGGGGAACTATCACCTTTAATTATACGCAAACAAGCTGCCTCAGCGTTGTCATTGTCAGCTCTTTTGGATGGATTGATTAGAGCAAGCTTTTGAAAACTGAACTGACAGGTTAAGCTTTTAAGGATTAGTGATCCAGGGATTAACTTGAGATTAGATCGATGATAATTAAAATAGTATAATGTAATTTAACAATGCAAAAGTATTAATGTTCGTTTCTGAAAAACTTTAGATTTATGTTTGAATTATTAAAAATTTGAATTTAAATTTAAACCAAATTTATTATTTAATTTTAAATTATAATTCTTTAATAATTTCAATTCTTTTTATGTTTTAATAATTTAAAATTTTAATTACTTCAAATATTTTATTTTTTTGTGAATTTTTATTATTAGTATTTCCATAATTCTCATGTATTTTCACATTTCTTATCTCTTATTAATTAAAAATAAAAATAAAATTTTTACTTTTAATTTTTATTTTTTTTGATAACTTATCTCTCTTCGTTATCTAAACTTTTTAAATTACTCAAATAAATAATTTTAAATATATAAATTTTAAATGTAAAATTTAAAATATGAAATTTAAAATCTAAAATTCAATTTTAAATTCATCAATTTAAACGTTATCTAATATATAATGTTTAAATAAAAAATCCCCAATTCAATAAAAAAGAAAAATTAATCGATAAAATCTTATACACATCTTATACAATTATTAATTATGAGTTTTTAACAACAATAAAATATAACAACATTAAAAATATTTATTAAGGGATTTAGATTTGCTTTAAAGTTTAAAATTTTGAAGAGCAACGATAAAAAAAAAAAAAGTTAAAAGGGAAGAAGGAAATTAATTTAGGTGAACCCATTTAACCGATCAGGTTGATTGGACTAAAATCGAGTAATAGAATAACTGATTTGTTTGATCAATCGAATCGATGAAGTGACTAGTTCACTAATGACAAACGCCAATTGCCCACACAACTCCACTCACAATTGATTTCTGTAAAGAAAAAATAGTACAGAAGCCACAACTATCGATAAATTAGATGCATTATCAAAAAATAAATTTAAAACTTATAATAAAAAATTAGGTGATATATAAAAAGTCAAGAAAACAATCGAGTTTTCTTTTTAATTTTTATAATTTTTCTAATATTTTTAATATCTATAATTTTAATAACATTAGGTAATGTTTGTTCTTTAGATTTCTATAATTTTAGTTTTTCAATGTTTTTTATAACTGTAAAGGCTGAAAACACTAAAAAAAAAAAAAAGTTACAGAGAGTAAAAACAAAATTTGATAAAATTATAGAAATAAAAATTATATTTTTTTAAAAAATTTGTAATAAAAAGGATAGTTATGAAACCTGAAATAAAATTACAAATTTAATTTATATAAAATGTAAAAAAAATATACAATCGGTGATTTTTTTCAAAATAAAATTTACATCAAATAACAAATTTTAAATAAAATAATATTAATTATATTATATATAAAATAAAAATTTAAATTTAATTTATATAGGGATACTCATCACGAAATGATACACCAAAACAATTTTTTTTTTTTTTAAATTTTCATACTCATCTCTCGCACCGCACGGAAATGAATCAGCTAGCAAATTGAAGTTAGATATGGATGACTTTTGGGAGAATATCTGGAGGGGTTAACACTATCTAAAGCGGACTAGGTCGCCGGCACAACAGTTGAATCTTCGTCGTGAAACTGCATTAATTGCAGAATGGTGCACTTGTGTCCTCCCTCCCCTATTGTTCACCCTCTCTACTGACTGATGGGTGACAAGCTGCAAGTTAAATCACGTTGATTGGCATTCGCGCAGGGCTCTTGTATTTCACCATTGGGGTTGCCCAACAGCTCAGTATCAATAAGCAGCCAAAGACCAGCAGCGCCAGATAGCAGCCATGGCTTCTTGGAATTCAGGTCCACTCCAAGTCACGTACCAAGTTCTGGGTTGGTCCTCTTTCTTCTGCTGGTCTGTCGCCTTCTACCCTCAAGTCATCTTGAATCTTCGAAGGAGAAGGTGCCCACAAAAATTTCTCTTCTTCTTCGCACTTGTATTTTCTCCACGACATGGTTTCACGTTTGATTCTTTTCTCAACAGCCTTGGCTGTATGCCTATATATAATTCTCTTGGGTTTTCTCAGTGTTGTAGGGCTCAACTTTGATTTTGCCTTGTTCAATCTGACGAAGCACTCTTCCTATCTCATCTACAACGCTTCTATGTACTTCAGTTCCGTTATTCAGAAGCAATATTTTGAGGAATATGGTTATGGAGAGGTCCTTTCTATACTTTGATCCAAGTACTTGTATAAAGAATCCACACTGAGTGATAGTGTAACGCTGTGTCAGAGGGAAAAGTAGAGCTCCTAATAATCATTAATATATGAATAAAATTTATAACAAGTATCATGGCTTATTTTTAGACCCTGTTTGATACAGAGGATTCAACTGACGATGATATTTTATATTTTATGTCTCATGATTTTAGATGATACCTGTGGCGGTAAATGATGTTGCTTTCTCAGCCCATGCTGTGCTAATCGTCGTAATTATCTTGTTTCAAATTGTGATCTATGAAGTAAGTAATGAAATTCACTGTTGTAGTTTCTGTTTTATTGGTTAAATTCTGAATTGCCCCTGAACGTAGTGACTTGTCCATATAGCGTGGAACTCAGAAAATCTCCAGACTTGCCATCGGAATTGTCTCTGTAGTATGGCTTACTGCTGCAGTTTGTTTCTTCATAGCTTTGCCTACACACTCCTGGCTTTGGCTCGTCTCCCTCTTCAAGTATGTTGATTCTGCTTTATTGTTATTTGCATCTGTGTGTTTTTATGCGGAAAGATTGGACTTCATTTTCCATTTTTACACACTTGATTCACTGTTGTTAATCCTTAAATAATTTGTTGCCAATCTACATGGGACCTAACTAAGTTTTAAACCCTCTATTTGTGCTTTAGGGAACTGCATATAGCTATAACTCTTCTATCCTTTCTTGATCAGATCATAATAATTGATTTTTTGTTGACATGCTATTGGCCCATCGTGTCAAAGTTTCTGTTCTTTCGCTTCCCTATTCTGGTCTTTTAATTACCCGCTTCACATTGGATTTTTTTTTTTTCTCTTTTGTCTCGTTTTGTTTATTATTTAAAAGAACTGTTTAGCTGATGTCTTGCTCATTTTTGGCAACGCACTCTTAGTTTGTTGTTTATATTTATAGAAGTCTGCACATCACTGGCTAAAGATTAGGTGGGTTCTGTGGTAAAGAAGGATTGTGACCTAGGAGATATGGGAGAATTGGCATGCTCTTCTTTGATGTTTGGATATCTGTTTATTTTTTGTTTAGCCACTCGTAAGATGCTTTAGTGAAAGCATGGATTCTGAATGTCTAATGCAAATTTTGATACATCCTTTCTACCTCCTCTCACCATTGTGTCATAATCAGTGGATTCCTTTTTCATGTTGTAAAATGTTGTTTGTGAAAGAATGTAGAGAGGATGCACCAAAAGTTACATTAGCATGGAGATCGGAATTTCCTCAAAAGATAATTATTTAATAAGCGAAGGTCAGACTCAAACGGTTTGTTTTATTTTATTTTATTTTTGAGATCTTCTCGTTCTCCACCCATCATTACCCGGGGTATTTGACATCATTCTGGCCGAAACTACCTCTTAGTTAAAAGAATTTTAAAGCATCGTTAAAAAAGAAACTGCTAAAAAATTAAAAAGAAAAAGAAAATAAAATTGATTTCCATTTATTAACAAATAAAAATAAAAATTAATTGCCTTCATCTAAAATTTATTCCTCTAAACTAATGTTGGAATCAAGCATGACATTCTTTGAAATTATGAATAAACAATTATGCATTATTTTTTTTTATAATATTAAGTTAAGAAATCATTTTTTTTTTAACATCATGAATACCTAAGCCCTTGAGATATGTCCAAAACAAAAGCAACGCCAACAACAGGAATAATGAACATTCTTCTACACTGACTTGTTTTCACTGTAGGTCCTTTCTAACTTTCTCCTAAATTTGATGATGCTGCAGCACAATCCAAGTATGCATGACAGCCGTAAAATATCTTCCACAGGTTAGAATTTATTTCTTGTTTTTTTGTTTCATTTCCTTCCATGAAGAATTTAATGTAATTTGCTTTTGTTTCTTTTATCCATCTATCCATCTCGTGTTAATAAATTGTGTTAGGAATGAATTATAGGCAATCATGAATTTTAAGAGAAAGAGTACGGATGGTTTCAGCATTGGTACCATTATGCTTGATTTTTCTGGAGCCATATTAAACTACGGACAGATGGTTGTGCAGTCCATAGATCAAGGTCTGTGATCTCCTCTATTGACAATCAATTGAGGGTTTGGGGTAACTCTTTACATTGACATGATGTAAACAGGTTCTTGGGCCAGCTTCTATGGGAATGCAGGAAAAATGACTCTCTCTCTGGTATGGAGAAGTATCAAGCTCTGTTTAGGTAAATTCATCTAGATTGTGTTTTGATTAAAATTGACGATTGCAGGTATGCGTATTCTTTGACTTAATTTTCATATGTCAACGTTTCGTGTTATATCCTGCCAAGAAAGCTTTTAAATCTGTGGCTTCTGTGAAACCTGAGGATGAAATCGAAGAGCATCTTTGTGCGGTACTCCGATGAACCAGCAGTTATAGAGAATGCATGAAGCATTGATTTACTTCATAACTGATTGTGTCATCAAATAGGTGTTTTGTTTTTAACTTTCCATGCACCAGGAGAACCATCCAGCTTGGTCTCCTCTTCTATTCTATTATTTTCAAGAATGATCCTATGATTCTTCCTCTTGTGAATGCTGTATATTTTCATTCAAGCATCATCCCTACGATTCCTCCTATAATGAATGTTGTACATTTTCTAGAATCATCTCTATGATTCGTTGCAGTGTTTTTTATAAATATAAATAATTAAATATAGAGTGGCCAAACAACTTTATAAAATTAAAAATTTAGAAGGCCTTCGAATATATGGAGGGGATGACAAAGGCGAGCGCCAGGGCCCCAAAAAAAGTTAAAAAAAAAAAACTAAAGCAGAGGAATCAATTTTCAAATTACAATGTCCTGGGGATAATTCAAGCCTGACCAAAGAAGGGAGAATAGCATGAAGAGCGTTGATTTCAATAAGCTTCATTTACAAGTACAAGTTTTTTAAGCTGACCTCTCAGCAAAGTCATTTTGTATCATCTGTCGTTTTGTTTCGCATGCTGAAATATTTGGCGATGTGTCCTCATTTTCGTTGTGGAATTTGAAGCCTGTGGATGAGTTGGGGTTCCACCGTTGACGGCATTGTGTTTTGCTAAAGTGGTTTGAATGGCTTTTCTTCCTTGATTGGGTGATTCAACAATATGTGTCAGTATGCCCTGCAAGAACAGATCGTCAATGTGGGTAGGTAAGACTAAGCTCTCAAATAAACCTTCATGAAGCAAAAGTAAACTCATCGTTACTTATGCCAGTGAACAGTTAATGGAAAGTTACCTTCTTTTCCTCCTTCGGTTCTTTTATTTCCTGATAAAAATCAGGTAGAGGCCGCGCTCTGAAGCAGAAGCTTTGTCGTAACTTCCTGATCTCTATATTTGCTTTCTCCTGCATTAAGGATTGAACGTTACAACACTACTATCACACTTTGTACTTGTTTCCGATGTGTCAACTCACCTTGAGCTTTGTGTGCAGCTGCACTTTTTGTGACTCACTGGCGTTGAACTTTTCTTCCAATTTCTGAAATTGACCACAAGTTCAACACACAATGAATCACATGATCCTTAGCAAACAGACATTAAATAGGGCATGTAATTGAGGCAGCTTTAATTGAAGCACAAAATAATAAGAGTATTGCCTTCTTTCTTCTTGAAGCTCTTTCTTCCGTCCTCAAGCTAAATGGAGATGATATAACAGGGGATCTCATATTTTTCCTGTGATGATTTATTGAGGCATGTGAAACACAGTTATGAGAATATAAAGCCAGTAAGGAAGGAAGCATTTTCATGGGAGAATCTGACTTACTCCGCTGAGAGCAGGTGCCATTTGGTGCCTGATCTTTTGCTGCCTGATGCTGATAAATCAAGAGGTGTTTTGGTCCTATGAATTTTCAGAAATATATAAAGCTACATCAATAAATGATCGCCTTAGCCAAAAAGAGGGGGGGAGGGGGAGCAAGTGAACAGTTTCATCATCTGATGAACAATTTCTTTAAATAAGTCACCTTTTATTCTCTGTTAAAGGGGTCATTGAGGAGTGCTTTTGACCCTCATTTTTAGAAGCCTGTAATTGGTAAAACAATAATCTTAGAATCATGGAAAGCAATTGAAACTTAAAAGGACATAGCAAGGAAGCTGAGATACCATAATTGGGGTTCTTAAAGGAGTCAAGTTGCTGTCCTTTGAGACTTTGGAAGAAGCAGCACCAACTCTTGCATTTTCAAATTTCTTCATGACTGATGCAGTTAACCTATTGAGTTCTCTGATGGGTGTAAAATTTGACACGTGAAGAGACTTAGTAGGTGATCTCTTCTTCTCAGGGGATCCTAATGCAGGCTTCTTGCTACTTGGGATGGCAAAATTGTCCTCCTTGGAACAAACAGAAACCTCAGATTTCACAGGTGAGGAGGTGAACTTAAAAGGTTCAGAGGCTTTTAGCAACTTGGAGGAAGAAACGGGTGGTTTCTTCTGCCTCATCGATGCCAAATTTTCCTTGTTAGATTCGGAACTCTGCTGCACAACTTCCATAAGGTCAGTGCCACCACCTCAAAGAATCAAAACAAAAAAGGAATTCATGTTCATGCCAATACATAAATACTCCAGACTACCTTCAATAATTCTGGTGCCGTTACTGGAGGTGTTTCGCTAAGTTTTTCTCTCACTCCTCTCTTGCAAGCAACATTTTGAAGCTGGCTTTGCAATTCAACCTTCTCTGACTTACCAACTGAAGGTTGGTTTTCGGTTTCACTCACACTTGGGTCTCTATTTGAGCCAAGAGTGTCTGGCTGTGAGTTTAGAATCTTGAAGCCTGTTTTTTCATCGACGACAAGTTTAACGTTTGGAGTAGTCGTCTGTGAATTGTCATTGTTTGAAGCAGCACTGTTTGCTTGTTGATCAAGCAAAGCAGCTGCTCTCTGAGCAGCAAGTTTTTTGTAATGAGCTTCAAAAAAAGCTTTCTTCTGTGCAACTGATCCAGGTCTTGAATACCTCTCTGCCTCTTCGACGTAACGATTGTGAGAGAAAGAAGACCATTTCTCCCACGACAGTGACTCCGACATGAACCTGCCGAACGAGATTGACTGTCCAAGCGAATGAATTGGATTGCTCTGTAACGCACAAGTTTCATGAAGTTTTCAAAGTGAACCTTCATGCGGGATACAAAGCCTAATTTTTGATTAATTCAACCAACCAAAAAAAAAAAAAATCCAGTATTCAAACTTAATCACCTATATGCTAGAAAACTGCAGACAATTCAACTTATCAAGGCAAAAAACGAGCATTGACTTTATATATATATATATTAATTATAACATATACATTTGGGATATTTAAGAATTCCGACAGGGGTGATTGCAGTAAATAATTGTGTATCTTGACGAACTGACCTGGTTGGTTTCATTGGAGATGCCAGAGGCATAGCAGAATGGCTGCATGAGACAAGCTGTGTCTCCCATGTTTCGTCGAAAACCACGAAAGATCCAAAGTTTACTGTTGGGATCGTTAATAATATTTCACTGTGGCCGTTCTTCGCATATGTGTCCGATTCAAATTTGAAATTCAAAATGAAAAAGGCTGTGGGGGCCTGTGAAGCACACCCCAACTTTGTGATTTGAAAAGGAGCATTATAGAGAAATCTTCATTTATTCCGAAAGTGGGGTCCACCAGCCATGTTTGGAGGAGCCTCTAAATCTTTTTCTCCTTTGTCTAGGTCCCACGCTTTGAAAAAACCAACCTCACTCAATCTTTAACGTCCATTGGCGGATAGTTTTAATTCAAAATCAAGTTGTGCTGCTAAATCTAGAAAGCTAAGAGATTCTCTGCGTAATGCACGTTAGAAGCTAGAAGGTGGTCATAATACCATAAAATGTGTTAAGAGAGACATTAATAAAGTACAAGAATAGAAAGAAGAGGTTGTTGAAGACTCGAAGTTGTAGAAGGTAAAGATGTAACAGGCTGAACAACCAGTAGTTGAAGCATCGACAAAGGCAAAATTACGAGGATGCTTTGTTTGGTATTTTGAGAGTGTGACATGAGCTACACTTGTGGATTCTTGACCTACAAAGAAAAAGGGAACACGGAAGAAAATAAAGACAAAAACCTAATACTGCAATTTTGAGTGTCCAAATGGGAAACAATGTTCAAATTAGTTGCGTGTCTGAGGGAGGATTGTACTTTAAATTTTTTATCAACTGATGAAATGGACATTTTTTTACTTCTTCTGGTTTACTGTATGATAAGGATCAACCAGAAGTCCCTTCTCTGATCTCTGTTTCTCTTCAAGTTTTTGGGCCTTTCTTGTGCAGTTACAATCAAAATAGAGATTGTGTTACCGAGAGAACTCAAACACATCTTGATTGACCCTTCATCATGTTGTCGGGACCACTTTAACAGTTAACAGTTAACACTGCCAACAGTTACAGCAACTGGAGTTCACTACTGTCTTGTGGCCCACACGGAGAAGTTTGGAGTCGTCAAGGACATCAATTCCATCCATGGTTAGAACCAACGGACACAAAAATCTCACTTGCATTTAGTCCTTTCATTTTAAGTAGTTAGATAATTATGATTCGAACTTATATCCAATCACGCATTGTTTGTTACTTTCTAATGGACCACAAGTAATGTGGACATATTTCTAAAAGTATTTTAGATAATACGATATTAATTGCCATTAAAATTTCGCAAAATATTTAATATATCAAAACAACTTTTTTAAAAAAAAATATATTTTATTCACGGAAAGAGGAGTATGGAATCATCACCGCCCAATCAAGTAAATAATTAATTTGCAGCCAAAATAAAGTAAATCATTAATTCATTGGGGTGCCAGAATAAACGTGGATGCTATACAATAAATACGGAGACGATAAGAAAGATCTATAAACCTAAACACCTCCACGATAATTCACTCCCATGGTTTTGTCTGCAAGACTGCAACTACAAAATTTGAAAAAGAAAACAAAAAACAGAGAGATTTGTGCACGCACATATTGTTTTGAACATTTTCATGCATATTTAAAAAAAAATTAAAGTATGCATTTAGTTCTTTAATTTTATACATCATTTTATTTTAATCTTTTAACTTTATATTTTTTTAATTCTTTAATTCTGACACTACTAGTTTTATTCTAATAAATTTTTATATTAAACTTTTAAATAATAATAAAATATTCTCACATAATAAATTTATTTTTTTTAAATAACATTGATTGATACATGAAATAATCATTTAAAAATAGCAACATTAGGATTAAAAGATTACAAAAATACTTTATAAAATTAAAGAATTAAATTAAAATTTTATATAAAATTAAAGGACTGAAAATATCATTCAGTTTTAAAAAAGTGTTATGCTGTTAAAGCCAGAAAAAAAAAGTATTCAAAATTACATTGTCAAATCTGTCAAAAAAAAATTATTCAAAGTTTTCATCCATATCTTTATTAAAACCTCTATTCAAAACTTAGGATATTAATAATTAAAAATATTAGGTAAACATAACTTTTGATTAATATGCATTTTGTTGATCCCTATAATTTTTTGGATGTTTTAAATTCCTAAACTTTTATTTTTCATTATTTTTGATCCCTTTATGAATAAAGTATAAAAACCTTAGAAGAACTCAAAACAATAAAAAATCAAAAGTATAAGAACTTAAAACACTGAAAAAAAAAATAAGGACCAAAAACAAAACATGAGTGAAATACAGGAATAAAAAATTACATTTATCCTAAAAGCATCCAAGGATAAAAAAATGTAAAGATATTATATAATATTAAAAAACTTTAAATATCCCTTATAAATAGGACTTGAGGATGAGGAACTAATAAATACATCAAAAAAAAAAAAAAATAGAATGCCTACGTCATAAATTCTAACTGTGGCAACAAACTTTTCTCAGAAACAGGCAAAATTGCAGACAATGATGTTAATGAATATCCGATTACAATGATACAACAACCAAAAACCCCATTACCCAGGAATACGCTTAGCCTAGGCCTGGAAAAGTTACCAATATTCCTTCGGAACACAAACATATCGAACAGCAAAAACCCAGGTGGTTCTCGTCACCATGGCAAATTTCACTCACCATCTTGCACAGACAAACACGAAGTGGCCTGCTATGTCCTGTGATTATATCAAAACGTTGCCTGAAGCAAGAGTTTTCAGTGCCTATGCGAATGCTTTCGGCTGTCATAAGCAGTCTCTTTCTTGTCTCTGTGACTTCTTTGAAACACTTGTAAAGCAAAGGTAATGCCTCCCACAGCCGCCATGGCATAAATCGCTCGATAAGGAGCCAACGCCAGACCAGAAAAATAGGACCAGTACCCAGCCACGAGATAGATAAAATATAGTCTCACTTTGCGGATGGGTAATCCGGTTAAGGATAAGGAGGAGCAATTGAACTCGGGCTTTGAGTTGCATATGCCATGGAGGATAACGCCAATGCAAAGAATAGAATCCAAGAGCCGAGGGAAGCTCTCACCCATTCCTAGCCTCTGTCACAAAATAAAATGCACAGTATGAGGGTTAGACAAACCTGAATATTTACGAGGGAGAATGACAAGCAAAGACCTCATAAGAAGATTATTGCCAAATCAACATTTTTTAAAAATTTCAGTATTGCATGAAAGAAGAAGTACTGAATTCGCGAATTTTAGTTATGAAGAGATCTTAACTTGACATTAATACTCTTATGAGGTCCTTATTTGTCATTTTACCCATCTAAAATTAAATACATCTCTGATTTTTACATACAACTAGAATTCCAAGCTCTCAGAATTTATAGGATGAATACACAAAATGGCTTCCTGCATGAAGATATAGAACAAAGATAGATTTAACTTTTAAGTTCAGCATCAATAACTGGTTTCGCAACTTCATCTTCATAAACCACGATTGTACAAGATTGTTTGTGTCCCAACGAGAATAGAAACAGGAACATATTAGCTTCTTAATAATCAAACCCATTATTTAAGAACAAACTATATTTTAGTTGTATTTTTTTTCTCAACATTCAATAATTTTGAGTTATAACAGAAACAAATTTCTTGCAGATGAAGAAAATTATTTGATGGTATAACATAAAATACATGCTCAAAAAATATCAGCAAGACAAGGAAACATGTATAGAAATGTATACCTGCAACCAAGCTGCAAGAGATGGGGCAAACATTGTTGCGGCAACAAAATGCAATATCAACAAACCATGGCGATGATGGAATAGATCCAACTGTGTGTCCCCAAAACTTTTTGATGAGTCTGGACTGCTGGAGCAATCATCTTCTGAATGGAATGTCCGGTTAAAACTAGCATCGAGTTTAAACTTAAGTTGCTCAGGTCCATTGTAGTCTTCAATTTTACAATCATAACTCTCTTTTTGTGCATGGCTGCGGCACGAAGCTGTCAGGAAACTGTTACAAAAACACAGTAAACTTAAGGATCACAAGGTCATATATATAGGCTAGATGAAGTATTGTACATCACTAAAAGGGTGGGGAGAACACCTTTGTTTACAATAAAAGATCTGGTTCCCACTATATCTAAACACTAATCAGGAAAGCTCTCTATTAAATGAAGTACAATTAGACTACACAGAAAAGGATATTATTCTAATTATCACTTTAAATTCCTCAACATCTTAGGCAGACTTAATTCAACACTGCAGTATTGAGTAAAGTTTGAAAGATCACAAGTGTAAAACTTCAAAAGAAACCCCTTACTTTCAATTAAACTGAGATACCTGCATAAAGCACTGTGACAGCAGACAGCATGAGAAAACAGAAGTATAATTAGACCCAGGGCTGGATGAACCAAGCATGCCAGTATAATTGCAGCAAGTGTTGTAACAAGCACTGGATTGGCTCTCAGAACCCTAACCAACTGTTCAATGAGGTTATCAGATAAAGATGCTATGACCAACGTGCTAAAGTTGGACTGTTAGAGTGCAAAAATGAAACAAAGGGTGGGGCAGGAAGGATGTTATAAAAAATACTAATAGTACAAGCACTAAGCCTCTTCTTCCCATCTTGTTCACTAAAGAGTGGCAAACCAAAAACGACGTCCAGAAATTACCTACTCCACTGCTGATAAGAAATCTAACCCCTTATGGGACGTATTTTGGCCATTAATTATATGTATCATTCTTTACCTTGAAAGAAGAGATGATGGAGGAAAGATTAAAAAACCACTGGAGATATATAGAGCAAGAAGTTTGTTCCCAAATTTGCCACCTGCAAAATATTAACCATGCTGTTTATAATCCAAAGTGAAGCACAATGTTTAGGAAACTTAACTACTGTGCATACGACACAAGAATAGGTCTAGAAATTCATAGGAAAAATATTCCAGTAAGCTGGGTAGCCATTGATTTAACGTCAATATCCATGATATTAGAAGGAAAAAAATTGTGCGCAAAATCCATAGAGCAGAAGTACATGCATGGCTGCTTTAAACCAAAGAGCAACCACCTACTAAGTACTCAAATGCATAACATCTGACACGAGTGAATTCAAGCAATATGACACAACTACAAATCTCTATACATCCAAACAATGCCCTTAATGTCCCTATGCCAGAGCAGAAAGTATGCAACTCGCAATCTACTTTCAATTCTGAGATAGCACAAAAGGAATTTCATCAGTTAAATGTGAAAATAACATCTAAAAATAAAGGGGGGGGGGGGACACTGCTAGATATTAACATTAGTATGAAACTCATTCTTGGACCATTGCTCAACAATATCCTATGGTATAAGAGCCTCATTGAAACTAATCTAGATCTTGCCAATGGCCTAGGTGCCTTGATGGCACCATATCACCTTATTAACCATAAGGTTGAGGGTTCTACCCTTTGCCATGGCATGTGTGAGTTATATATGTATGAAATAATTAAAAAAAACAATATAGCATCTTTCTCAAGTAGAAACACTGAAAGCCTTTGATCATAGTCCTCATAGATTCATTAGAATTCACCAAAGACTCTAATTTGTATGCTGTGGAATTTCACTGCTTCATTAGTTACAATTTTTTCTATAAATATTTCAATACATTGCTATGCCTGCATTTTCATGGCCTTGGCTGATTTAAACATTTTATTTAATATTAATAACACTATAGGATAAGAAGTAAAGATCGTCAATGATATAGGGAAAGAAAAGAAACTAATTCACTCAGAAAAGCAGGGTCTAAGGAGGCCTATAAATGGTGTGCATAATACTAACTCCTAAAGCCCATTGATACTTATATTACAACAATATAACTTATTTAAAATCTACTTTTGGTTCACTAGTAAGTTTGTTCTAATCATTGCATTTTGCTGATTTGCTAAAGAAACTTTGAAGAGTGGGGAGACAAGAGTGCATCATCTGGAGATGGTTTAAGCATGTTGAACAAGGTGATACAAATGCTCAGGTGTAGAATGATGAAAGTTGAAGTAATAAAATTTGGAAGCATCCAATTTGATGAGTCTAACCCAAAATTTACAATTCCAAGATACTTGTTGAGCACAAATGATTAGGAATAGTAAAACAAGACATGTTCACTAATTTGAAACAAAAAATATCCAAAAAAAACATTTACAATAATGACATCATCACAGAAACTGGTGAACCTTAAGGGTGGTAACAATCAGCATACTAACCTTGTCTTGACAAAAATGTGTGAAACAGCAGCCACAAAGAATAGCAAGTGAGATACCAAAATCAGAATAGCTATAAGCCCGTTTGCAAAAATATAACAAATCACAGAGATGCTGATGAAGCTAGCAAGGGGAGGAATTGGCTGAGACATCATGAAGGAGAGGAACAAGGAAAAGAAAATGGGTAGAATGGCTAGAAAGAATAAATGTGAGAGCACTGTCAAATTGGATTCCATAGTTGAGAGCATTGAGGGTATCCGCAGATCAAGATCCCATGCATATGCCTGCCGCATTAGAGCAAAGAAAATGATGGCAATGGAGAAACCAACCATCTGCATGAACATCACATAAGCATGATTATTAATGTTTCTATTTAACAAAAACTAGATAAACACATCCAGTTCACATGGGATGTACATTTTAGAAGATAGCACGTAATTCAATTAAGAAAAAAGAAGTGGCACACATAATTTAAAAAAAAAAAATTTAAGAGAACTAGAATTCATCCGTGTGATAAATGGGTTAGACAAAAATTTGACACAAAAAATAATGGACAAAATTCAAATGAAACAAAAGCCAAATAAACATCAACATATATCAACTTCTTTGTGTAATCAAAATCAATTAAGTAGTCAAAACTTCCGCAATAAGAAAACATAATAAGCCACAGATGGATCTTGAATTTATTCATTGATTCAAAGAGCAAAGCTGTTTTTCAAGATATCAACTGAGCCTATGGCTCATGGAAACTTTAAAGAGCGTCCAAAACCAAGAGTAAATTTTCCTTCAGTCTCTATTCAAATTTATGTTTACATATATACATATATATATTGATTGTATGTGTGTATATATTGACTGTGGGATAAGGCTTCTTGTTGTTGTATATATGCAGTGATTGTTTACGTTAATTAGCACCAGAACATGGAAGGGAAGAGAGATATTATGATAGAATGAAACAAGCAATATCAAGTATATTGGCAGTGGCACCACATTGATGAACAAACAATATACTGATGCAAATATTCAAAAATCAAAATTTACTGAATTCAAGAGCTAGATTCACAAACAAACAAAAGAATTGCCAATGGAACGAGAAAACTTGTTTGGAGCAGCACCAATGCTGGAAGTCTGAATTGATGAAAACATCAACACCAGGCGTGTAGAAATCTGACCTCTGGATTATATAACAGCATAAACCTGCTGGCAGCAGCACTGACGGAAATAGCAATGCTACTTTTATAAGAACAATGCGGATCAACCTGCAGAATAATGGAGGAAAAAAGCATTAGAAATTTATTATCATAATTGCTGGTGTAATACTAATAAAAAATTTGGTAGCATATCCCTTCATGAATTGCAAAACATGAACAATAACTTCTTTAATTTTCTTTTCTGCTCATAACTGGAAGGAAAAAATTGTCCCGCCACTTCATGAATTAGGAAATTTTACCAGCAAAAGAACAATTGTTCTCTCAGAGTGCCTAGTTGAACCCCAATCTGCTGGTGAAGAATCAACCAAAATTGTCTCAGCATCCAAATTTGGATATATATGAAGACCACATGTGTCATCATAAGCAAGTGCAACAGGTGGAAAACAACGGAGTTTGCAGAGCCCTGAAACATTCAGCAAGAGTTATCTCAGCTGATCGTAAAATAAACACTGCAGTAAAACCTCACGAGCAACACTCAATCACAATAGCATTAAATGCAGATGAAATAATTAAAAAAATCCCACTTCTCAAATGTCAACTATGGATTACAACATTTGGTAACATTTTGTAAGCCCAGGATATGTAATTAAAGGGAGGCTAAGATCAGTGCCCAATCCAATTTCAAACTTCTCTTATTCCTTTCCTCCTTTAATTCTCCCCTTCCACAGTATGTTGGCAGTGCATGATGACATTTGATTCTCCTGACTAATGTGGCAAGACTATGGAACATTATAAATTATTAGCACCCCTCACAGTATGTGAGGATGAGACGAATTCTTAAGATTAAAAGATCATGCACAAAGCTGCAAGGTCGTGCTTACAAGCCAGGAACCGAACATATTTTGAATTACTTTGGTAGTTCATTTGCTAAGGGAAAATATGCTAGGGCTCAGGTCAAATATAACAGAAAACATGACTGGGCCTGGGAAAGATCAATGTCAAAAATGAATATATCAATGATTATACAGCATGGTCTAAAAAATAACCAGATAAAAAATGGAAAACAAAACACTCAACAACTGTCCTAGTTGTTTAGGTAGGTTAGATTCCTTACTACTACTTTCAAGGTCTCCAGCTTCCTCTTCTGGAAGTCCAGAGTTATCTATTCCACAGCTGGCAGTTTTCAAAGACAGAGTAACAGGAAGAAGACCCAAGCTGGTGGAAAATGATAGTCGGACAGCAAGAGGATGAGCTTCCTCCAACATCATCTCCTGCAAAACATGTGCACATTGTAAGCTCTGAAGCTATTGAAATGAATATTGTTGGGTCCATTTTCAATAGTTTAAAATTGGGTTTCTGAACGGACTTTAACATGGTAAAAAAGCATGATTATGATTATTAATTCATTTCTAATTAAATTTTCAGCTTTATTTATTTTTGGTTGAATACCTTAAAATGGTTAGTGACCGCTTAGTGAAATTGTTTCCTGAGTTAAGCTGCATGTGATAAGGAACTAGAGGCTTCATCAAGATTTAACTCGGTAGAGTTAATTTCCCTCCAACTTAATTGTTGGAACAATTGCTTACATAACAAAACTGAGCCTTGCAATTATAAAAACTCAGGGACATAAATGAATACTAATATGAGTGTTAAAAAAAAAAATTGCCTGAAGTATAGAAGCCAGTCAATGCTTCATGAAATAACAACCTTTTGAGAATAGGTAGATTGAAGCATCAACCACGGAGATATCTCTAGCTTCCCTTCTTCTGGGTTAAAGAACTGCCCAACAGCCATAGATGCTGCAGGTGGTGGTCTGCCTGAAATGGTCTGAGCAAACATTGTCAACATATATGCACGAATTTGAGGCTGAAGTTCTACAACACGAACCATGCAAGAAATAGTCCAATTTTGGAATTATAAGCATACCGGACGAGGGGCAACCGATATTGTAAGGAATCTAAACCCACGCATATCTTCAGGTCCCAACCAAAACACAGAAGATGGTGGAGGTTGCTCGGTCTGACTTCCAGGTTCCATCTGCAGCAATACAGTATGTTCAACATTATAAGTAACTGTACCAAATAAATTAAATTGCTACCTCAGCTTGTTTCTGAATGCAAGATAAGGTGATCTATCAAACTAAGTACTATCAATTTATCCAAATGAGAAGACATTCCCGTCTGGGAAAAGAGCACTACATACCTGCCGTGGTGCTGGACCTGAGGGAATGCGCATCATCTTTGATGTTACTTCCACAACCCTTCCACTTGGAGGCAAAGTTGACGTAGATTTGTCCTTTTCTGGCCACAGATAAAGTCTAATTCCAGAACAAGGCTCAAGGTTGGTCACAAACACAAAATGACTTCTTCCATTTGACCCCTACACATCCAAAGTGAAGAAATGAATTACATCATTTTTATTTCTAATATAAAAAACAACCAGAAACTTCAGGAGCTTATTGAACAAGGAACTCTAATGGCATAACTGTTTAATAACAATCCAATAGTGAAGTTGACCGTAATTAAATTCTGTATCTACCATACACAATCCAACAAATAATCTCTAACTCACAAATTTATAAAAGCTAAAGTGGCCACACAAACATCTTAAAAGTTTGAACAGTTTCATTTACACGACTAACTAAAGATACACTAAAGTGATCAGAAAGTTGGAGGGCTGATCAGTTATTGTTTTGATTATCAATTTCAGAGAACAGTAAAAGATTTAAGAAAACAGGCTTCTTTCAGTAGATTCACTTGCTTTAGAATTACCGCTAAGAATAAAAGTTCCTGAAATTGTTTAGGAAAGCAAAAAATAACAGGAAGAAATTTGGTAACTTGATACATTTTGCTTTCCCACATGATTTCTAGGTAATATCAGGCAAAATATATCGTTCTATAAAATTTTAGATATTAGAAAAAAGATAATTATGTGAAAAATACCAATTTTTGTATGTCCAACCACCGCCTTCGACCATCCATTGCTAAGACAGTCACCACATTTGTCTGAATGTATAGGTCTCTCTCAAGGCTATCATCACTCCATTGAATATTGGGAGGACATGTAGCTGAACCGTGCACATGAGATCCTGCAACAACACACCTATAACATAAAATTTTGCACCAAGGTAGTAGCTTTTAAGTCAAATGAAAGATCTATGTCAAATATTGAGATTTATGAAATTTAACAAAACTGTAACAGAAATCAACCACGCAGTGAGCATGCAATAGATTTTGGAAATAATCTAATATTATAGAACATTTATAATTCACAATTCATTGAACAACTAAGAAAATAAATACGGTAAATATTTGCAAGAATTATATTCTCAGCTACACTGTTACATCAGAAAAGGCACAGGAGTAATGTCAAGCTAACTTCTTTACTTTTACATCAGTGATTATGCATTCCAGAAACCTCACAGATAAACTATTCAGCCAAGATAATCATCACAATCCAAAAAGGAAAATGACAAAAATTACAGATTAATACCAGTGGAATCCATTGTACTGAGGACAGGAGTACTTATTGAATGCTTAGAAGGCAATTCCATCATCCGGTTGAAATTATGTGAGATTCCGCTACGCAACATTCTTGAAAAAATTGCAAGCCTTTTTTGAGCATCTGGAAAAGGATGGCCCGTTTTGGAGTCTATCAAACTAAGAAGAGTGTGTGACACCTAGAGAAGAATAAGATAATCAAAGCGAGTTCTAAGAGAATTTTGAGTCACTGCTATTGCATAAGGCAAAACCACTTACTTGAATAACAAGTTGATTACACCATAAAATAGCCTGGTGCTCCATTGATAACCACACATTCCTCATAGATGTACTACTGACCATGAATCCATGAGTTGGGGGCACGATATTATCAAGTGATGTTAATTTTGACCGCACCTGTAGAGAGGAAAAAACATAAAAATACACCACTAAATCAAGGTTTACGTCAAGCAGTTATATAAAAATTGAAAAAATAACATAAAAAGCACTCAAACAAATAACACAGAAATGATTCGACTCTGATTCCCATAGATCGTGCAATATTTAGCCTAAACTTCCATAGCTTGATTCTGAAAGGCCAATTTCCAAAGCAAAACCAAGCTTAGGTAGAGAACACATGCCTCTACTAAGAAGTGTGATTATCTATTTAAATTATATGAGATCCCATTTTCAAAAATTAGAAGACCTGCATTAACTCAAGAAACGCACTCCAGTTGAGATTTCCTCTCAACCAAGACCACAAAGTACTGTTTATGCAAATCAAGTCAGCTCTCAAGTTGAACTAGGGTGAAATTGAAATGAAAGGTGTGATAGTCTTGTGAAGTGCAGACACACGAGGCATCCTTCTCTCTTAAACATCACAGCAAAAACTGGCATTCATGATGAATAAAACATTATCTGTACCTGGTAATCATTATATGCACCAGAGATAGATACCACAACAACACGAGAGAGCACAGGATCAGACACATAACGCCCAGAGTTAGTAGTCTGAACCTTATATCCCTCTCTCCATTCCTGATTTACACGTTGAAAGTAATAACCCAAGGAAGGCTGCAATGCCAAAGGAGGTGATCTGAATGAAATAGATACATTCCATCATTTAAGTATAGTATACAATAAGAATAACCAAAATCATAACAGTAATAAAACTTACTGATGTGGTGTTGAGAGGGTAAGAATAGTTTCAACTGCTGATTTCCTGAGATGAGGATGGATAACAGCAGCTCTAGCAACAAAACCTCCCATGGAGTGACCAACTAATATCACACTTTTTGGTAAGCTCCCAGAAGCAGCAGTGCGTCTTGTTCGAGCATCATAAGACACTTTATATTGATCCAATATCTGCAAGTAAGGCATGAGACAACTGTTGGATTGAAGAAATGATGCCTAAATACCAGCCTGATGTATTGGATTGAAGAATAGTAAAGCTTAATAGCCTCACAAGCCCAGGGGTAGAACTAACGGAGGAAACAAATGACAGTAAAGAACAAGCACATAAAGTTTAATCTGATCAGCTTTGAAACAGAAGACTGTTGTTCAAAGGATCAAAACAGCCTGCGGATAAATTCCTCAAAGCAGATAAGTTGCCTAAAAATTACATGAATGTATTAAGTTAAATATCACAGAGGCATCGATAGGTCAAAAGGAACAATTGTGTAATCAGGATTGAACCACACTCCAAAAGGAACATAACTCCTCTAATTTCAATAAATTGCCGTTCAATTATAAGTAAGCCAAATATTTGTTCTCAGGGGAGATTTATGCCAGTAGTCTCAGCAGTCTAATTAAATCAAAAAGAAAACAAGCTGAATAGCAGGGAAAAAAGGCACCTACAAACTGCAAATCAAATAATCGACAAGCCATTTGCAGAGATTGGTAGCACTAGCCTATCAAGCTATTTGCAAGATAAGGAAAGAATGCTCAAAACACAAATAAATCATCAGCTATATACCACAAATCAAATTTTCGGCAGCCTCAGCATATTTATCCACAATTTATCAGCTTCCCCTTAGGATGTAATACATATGAAAATGACAAGTGATACCTTGTGAATGGCATAAACAACATATTCAGCATGTTCTTCAAGGATCCCCCCATCCATTGCAGAATGTTCACCTTCAAGGTCCACAGCAAACCAGTCTAGCCTGCTAGTATACTGATTGGGCATGTGAAATTCAGAGAAGTTCATGTGTGCTCCTACTTCTTCAGAGCTTAGGGAAGCTTCTTGGTAAAATGAACGCTCAAGGGGACCATTCTGATATGCCCTATCAGATTCTGCTGCCAAAGACCGTACCTATTGTGCAGACAAAAGCAGAAGAAAATGCTGATGAGCATAAATTTGAACAACGATACTACCCCAACAGTATTAACAACAAGGGTAAAATGTTAACAAAAATATGAACAACAATAGATACAACTAAATCGGAGATTGATACTATTAAGGTTGGATTCTCATGGATTTATATCAAGATTTTATATTATTTCAGACTTTACCCGTTCTTCCCCCACCCCCCTTTTGTTATGTGTCTTTTTTGCCACAAAGAACCCTCTTTCACTTGGTAGCAGATGTTTCGTTAACTCTAACTCTTCAAAAATGAGTATCAGCCAACTCAAAACAATGAACTTATTAAGGCAATCTTCAGGATTGAACAATTGGCTACCAGTGCAGATTTTAGCCTACATTTTACCATTTTACAACAGAATCAACTGAAGGCAATAAGCCTCTTTGAATTTAACCAAAATAATCTCAAGAGTTAAAATCTTCTGACCTCAAATTTCTTAATGCATCTCTAGATCATTAGATATAAGCAAATTAGCCAATAATTTCCTGCTTTTCAACTAGCATCAGTACATTACCACCATGAACACCAAGTATTGCTATTTTTCCTTGACATGTCGGAATAGTTTCACTAACAACTGAACGAATAACTGTAAACTGTTTAACGAATTTCAACTACACTCAAACAATAAGAAAGAGGACCTTGCCTGTTTGTAGCTACCACCATTGCCTGGGATGAAAAGCACCGGTACACCACTAAGCTTCTTGAGATGCTCCTTAAAATCTATCTTTTTCCAACCCTCATGATATAAATATAATCCATATTTCACTGGCGCAATGCTTTTAGATGAAGAGATAGGAATGTAAGTCGGATACATGTAGGTCATGATACATCCATTTGAAATGGGTTTTAAGACACCGTATAGAGCCGCAAGACAAATCCCTATCACGATAATGATAAGAACTGCAACTCTGACTTTTGCTTTGAAACCAGGCATTGTTGAATGATACTTCTACTTCAAGAACTTTGGCACACAATCCCACATCTAGCTTAGTTTGATCCTAAGTCCACGTATCCCCAGATTTCCTCCCTTCAAGAAACCAAACTTAGCAAACTCAATTTTGAGTTCAACACCAGCAAGCTCTGAGAGAGGAGGCACATGCAACAAAAAACAGAAGTGTAAAAAGAGTCAAGCCAAACCTAGAATCAGTCAGCAGGTGAGCAGTCACAGAGATTATTAAAATTTAAAACAAGCTCCCGCTTTCGCGAACACAAGGAAACTTCGTAAATAACGACAAACGACATTGGAAACGTCTGTTTCTAAAACCAGGACAACTCAGGATCCAAATCTCGCACACATGCTGATTCGATCGAACCGGCTAGGAAAACAGATCAGAAGTAATTTGAAGAGAATGCAGAGCCATAAACACTAGACCTGTTTTCGGTCAACCGAAACACTAAACTGAAAGCAAACAAATCAGCGTTCGGATCTGAAACACGCGAAAGGTCTCAGTCAGGCAGCGGCGCCATCGACACCGCAGACTGATAAGAAGCTGAATCGAGAGAGTAGGCAAAGAAAATACAAGCGCTCACCAAAAACGAAAGCGGCGGGAAGAACACGATGATGAGGACAAGAGAAGAAGCATGAACCACGGTGAGAGAGAGAGAGAGAGAGGTGAAGGAAGCTAAACTTTTCTTATTTGGTGTAGAAGAATGCTAAGCTTTTTGTTGATGCTCCACTTTCTCAGCGGCGGATGTTCGAAGCTGAAAGACCATGCCTCGTCATGTGACAGACTGAGAAGTGAGAAATGGAGGTTAAGCTTAAATTTTGTCCGAAATCAATCAGCGTAGAAGTTGATGATTGGAGATCATTATTAATTCATGTGACGAAGTTACGGCGGTTAAAAGTTCCTGCAGAAATCAAAATGCTTGATTAGGGATAAATAAATACAGAATCCTGTTCAGGATGAGGGGAAGAAGCCTTCAGGCAAGAGCTAAATCCTCATCTGTAATTAATCATCAATAAATTAATTAATACATATTTTCCTGTCTTTAAATATAAGTAAACTTTAATATTTTTATTTGAATTCATCTTAATAATTATGTCTTGTTCAATATTTTAAACTAAATGTATCTGAAATTTGGATGTACAAGGGGGCATGCTGATGTTGGAACTTGGAGGCAGGGCAATAAAGACGCCCACATGACCGTCTCGTCCTGCTCAGGCCCTTTGGGCTGTATTCGTGAAAATTATTGGTTAGGCCCTCCCGCGTGGGGATCAGCTAATTTGTGTTTGCTTTTTCCCCCTCCTTGGTAAGAATTTGAGACGTTGTTTTTTGTTTTTAACGAGAAATTTGAATTGTTTTTAGTGCTTCATTTATTTGGAAAACTTTGACGAAACCTATCCAATAATTTATTAGCCAAAAAAAATGAATAAACTAAAACTTTTTTACATCATATGATAATATTTAAATTTTAAAAAAACTTTATACGATCTGAAAAAGTATTAATTGAATAAATAAGCAAGAAATAGATTGCCAGTCTTATTGGAAAAAGAAAAAAGATGGCCAAAAAACAGTAAGAAATGATTTAATTCCATATTAAGGCCACATTACTTATTAATTAATAAAAAAGAATAGCAGGTGAATAGTAAAGGATAATTTCAATTTTATATAAACCAGTATCATTTGTTTTTTTTTTTAAATAGATTGCCAATATGAAAACCTTGATTACGTTTAATTATCAGATAAAAATATAAGTTACAAAACAAGAACCTGGATCAACTGCCAGGATACCCTGCGTTTGCCTGTTGAATTGGGTTTCTCCAATAGATTCTAAATTTATTTTGTAACCCCAGAAGCATTAGATGAAAATATGTTTTTTTGTGAAAAGACTTATTTACTCTCATTTAAAATGTATAAGTTTCATAGGCATATGCACAACATAATTATACAATATGACAAGATTCATATATTAACAATATAATATTCATTCATTATACATAATTTGTATGGTTTAGTTGAACAAAATAATGTACAAGACCCCCAGCTATACAAACAAAAGAATATCCATGTATAACATGACAGTATCCATGTATTAATAACATAATGTCCATACATTAATAATACAATGTCTGTTCATTATACATAATTCATATGGTTTATTTAAACAATAATGTACAAGTTTTCTAAATGAATGAATAAAAAAATGTCCATATATAACATGACAAGGTCTGTACATAAAGAACACAATATTTGTTCTTTATATATGGTCTATGTAATTTAATTGAACAATAATATATAAGTTTTTTAAGTGTATGAACAATAAAATGTCAATATATAGCATGACAAGGTCCATACATTAATAACATAATATTTGTTTATTATGCATAATTTGTGCTGTTTAATTGAACAATACTGTACAAGTTTTCTAAGTGTATGAACAACCAAATGTCTATATATAACATGACAAGATCCATACATTAACAACACAATATTTGTTCATTATACATAGTTTATGTAGTTTGATTAAATAACAATGCACAAGTTTCCTAGGTATATAAACAACAAAATGTTTATATATAATATGGCAAAGTCAATACATTAATAACACGATGTCTTGTGTATAATGTTATCTTTTCAAACAAGGGGCAAATGATTCTTTTTACCAAAAAATATATTTTCATGTAAGGCTTTTGAGCCAGCAAAATAAATTCAAAATATGTTGGCTTTAGGTGCTAAATTTTTGAATTCGAGGGCCTTTAATGCCATCATAAATCAATCAATTAACTACATTCTACAAATTTGGTTGGTCAAATTTTTTTTCATTCTCATTGGTCTAACTACTTCGTTCTCTTTTTCATACCTATCTCCCATTGGTCAATTCATTGTAAATGCATTTATCTTGCATAATTTCTTCCCTCCCCATTCCTTTTCATCTGTTTCGATGTTACACTCATTTGTGCCCTTTCAAATTTCCAATTAAATGGGTATTATATTTGTTGCCTCTTTTGGTTCCCTATGCCTTTTCCATCTTCATCATTCTACATTCTCAGTTTCCTCCGCTCTTCAAAGTATTTTTCTCTGTATCTTTCTCTTTTTGTTAAAATGTATCTTTTCATTTTATCGCTGTTTGGTCTCTCTCTTAGTCTATTTCATCTTTTTCTCTCATACTATAGTTTTTTGTTGAGTTCTTTATCATAACACCTTATCTGGTGGATTGTCTAACTACTCTCATTTTCAACCGCTATGCAGGTTCCTCCATTATTTGTTTATCTTATTTCTATATAAAGTCCTTTAACTGTCACTGTTTCAACATACAACCATTTTAACCATTTTTTTAATGTTTTTTTTTTCAGAAAATGTCCAATAGACCTAGATTTATTTACTCCTTTAAAGGATCTTCAAGAGGGTGTCTCACACGCTAGCATACGTGTCTGATTGGTCCATTTATTCTGGGAAGATGACATGGGCTTCTTCCAGATTGCAAAGACCCTAAACAGTATAGTCTATGATCTCTTTTGTTATGTTTTTTGTGCATGTATTAAACTTTTTTGTTTAATCATATTTTTCATCCATTAATCTTTCCCATAAGGATACTCGGATCTTGGTGGTAAGCAATCAGCTCAATCCTATTCATAGGATTTGGCCTATTCTTCTAGAGGATTTTTCATATGACATTCACCATTTCACAGTCGTTTGGGATACCAATCCCGTTTCATCCAAACTTTTCGTTGTCATTAAGCTTGACACTGCCTTTTAAAAGTCACCAACATTAGTCCCCTTGCCCCCACTTAAGATATTATCCATTTGTCTCCTAACTGATTCGGAGAGGAGAGAAAAATGTCTTTTACTTCAATGTTAAATTTTCGTCACCCTATGTTTTTTTTTCTTTACATGTTTTTTGACTTATTCTTCTTATTCTTCTTGTCCTTCCATTTCAGATATTTCTGGTATCATTTTTGGAGTTGGATACCTTTAAAGAGATGTATCTGATTGCTGGATTGATTGGAAATTCTCTTTCATTATCAGTGATACATGGTACGTGTGTTTTGTTCCTTTTCTTTGACATATTGTTTTCTAGACTGTTAAAAAATTAAACCCTTCTGTACATTTCGTTTATGTTCCCTTTGTATGGTTTTAAAGAGTCATCCCATATGTAGGGGCAACCATCTTAATTGTGAACTTGAGGATGGTCCAGCTTGGAATGCTTACAATGGCTACCTTCTTCAAAATTTTAAGAAAGACTTGGTGATTACAATCGAATGGGCTAGGATGATCAAGAAGGGTGGTAGGTCTTTTTCTTCTGCATTTTTTGTTTCATCTGTAAAATTAGAGCAAAAATATCATTTTACTTTGCTGAACATCTCCTTCCTTCCTTATGTAGATGACAGCGTCATAAAAAATCATTTCAATGCAACAAGAGTTCATTTCAATGCTAATTCTAAAGTTGTGCAGTATTTCAGAGGAAGTTTAAGGGAAAACATGAACTTATTAATCCAGATCATCCCTCTACATCAGGGATTAGTGATTAATAAATGTTTAAAATTTCTGTTTTTTGATTACCTTCTTTTCATTGATTGCAATGTTGCAACACATGCAGTCATACATTTTCCAAAAGTTATATTTCAGACATCGTTTATGTAAATTTTAGGTTCATCACATTTGCAGAAGTTGTATTTGCCTTCCTTATTCGGTATTAATTTATCAAAGCGGTTTCATTCCATATCTTGCACCCATCTTACATGTAATCGTACTTATTTCTTATCATGGTGATAATCTCACAATAGTAAACTAGCAAAACAGTGATTAATGTATAGTTTTTGATTTCACATCAAATGGCGATAGCAAACAAAATGTAGTTAAATGTTTACCTCCCAAGTTCTTAAATTAATAGTAATAAAAATGGTATACCAATAATATTTACAATCATATCACCTGTTAAAATCATAGAAATAGATTATTCCAATTATTTCAAATTGATCTGTCATGCGTATATCAACCTATTTGTTAAATGGCTTCCAATTAATTATTCCTTAATTCTTAATTTCTTAAGTTTCTTAAACTTAATATGTTTGATTTCTTAAATTATTACTTAAAGCTTAATTGTAACATAATGTTATTAAAATAGAATTAGGATACAATTTACTTGGTTCCTTAAGTGAGATAGTATTTCTAAATGGTTTTTAATGGTGGTCGGTCGGCTATTCTAATTTTTACTAAAAAAAAAAGATAAATCATTTCGTGTAATGGTATGAGTTAAGTATTGCGAAATTGTAAAATTAAAATGGTTATAATTGATGTATTAGTTACAAAAAAGTAATTATTTCTGACATTATACCAATAACTTATGGCTGATAAATGAGAACTGATATCTGAAAGTAAATCGGTTATTTAAAGAAAACCACATTATGTTGACTAACAGCTAAAAAAACTATTAACGTACAATATTAATTTAAAAAATATATTCTCTATTAATAATGACAATGTTAGTTAATAATTTTTAAATTATTTCTAAGAAAATAACATTTGAACCAATACTCATCCCCCAATAAACTATTTTGAAAATTTCATTTATCGATAAACAGTTTTCCATGAATGTAATGATATCTCTGCCATTGCATGAGAATTCAATGTCTGCTTCCAACATGCTTTGTAAATTGATTCTCCATATTTCTCGTATTCAACATTTATGCTCAACACATTCTCTCTCATTCAACCAATAAGCTTCTCACATTTTATGATTAAATCTCCTCATTTGTGGTTCCTTTATGATTCATTTTAGATTATAGGAAAAATTCGCTCCATACATTCTCGAGGCTCAACTCCCTCCTTCATACATTTGGAAATAGTTGGCTTCTTAGCATAGAGGATGGAACATTTGAAG